CATTTAACTCGAAAGAAAATTCACAGGCTGAAAATCAAAGGAGAGAGAACAATTCTCTACGTGACAGTGAACCAGAAAAAGGTAGGAATAGCTCACCTGTCAGCTGCAGAATGAGTAAGAAAGGTATGGCATTTTTATATAATGGAAAGCTACTTATCGATAGAGAAAGAAAGCCTTGAGACTCTTGTAGGTAAATGGATACAACTTGACACCATGCTCATAGGTGAAATGGCTAGGAATCACATGGGTGAACACTGTGTTGTCTTCCTAGCATAAAGAACAGAAGGAGTTAGTGGGATTCAAAACGCGCAGTAGGTATTATGAAAGTGAAAGGGGAAGAAATGTCTAAAAAGGGAAGGCAGTGGCTATTGTTAATTTATTATGTTTTGAAACCGTGTATCATTTTCATTATTTTGTTTAGTTTGGTTTTATTGTTTTGTTTTGATTGATTTTATTATATTTGGCAGTAAAAGTAGCTATTTCAAAGTTAACAAGATATATTATGGTAGCCATCATTGGTTTCCTATTATCTTGTTTTGAAGTCCTGCATCACTTTCATAGTTTTGCTTTGATTGGCTTTACTCTGTTTTATTTTGTTTGGTTTTACTCTTTTTGAAATAAAAAAAATTCAACATGTCTGGCCTTAAGAGAAATGCAAATCAAAACAACATTGACACCCCATCTTATTCCAGAAAGAAGGGCTACCTTGTTTACAATGATGCAGCTTGTAATAGCTAAATTCTAGAAACAGCCTACGTATACCCATCAACAGATGACTGAATAAAAGAAATGTGGCAGTGTATCTATGTATAGTGGAACATTACTGTTATAAAAAGAGAACATTAGAGACATTTGTAGGAATACATATGTATCTGTCAAATATGATTTCAGTGAAATAAATCAGATACACAAATTTGAATACAACATGGTATCTCTCATCTGAGTAAGGTAAAATACAAACTAAGAAAAATAAAAGAAGGATAGAACAAGCCAGAGGGATGGATTTCTTACAGATAGGAAGATGTACAAAAGAGTACAAAAGGTGAAGGATGGTGGAGAGAGGATGGGAAAACAGTGAAGATATGCCAGGTACAAGGTCCTAATAACCTCAATGAATGAGGACTTTATATGTTATAAACATATAAAGAACTAAGATTAACAGTATCAATAAGAATAAAAAGGGGGAAAGAGGAGCTAAAAGAGAAGGTGGGAAGGAAAGGAGGTTTAAAAAACAAACAAGTTGTACTATGTACATATACCAACTCCCCAGGATAACTTTAAAATGTATACACTGTAAGCATATAGTAATAAAATAAAATTTGAAAAAATTAATATTAATCAATCAAAAACAAAAAAAATCAAATAATTAAAAATGTTGGTAAGAATGTGGGAGAAAAGGAACGTTTTACATTGTTAGTGGAAATATAAACTGATACAACCACTATGGAAATCAATATATTCCTCAAAAACTACAAACAGAAATTCCATTTGACTCAGCTACACTTCTGATGAGTATCTTCCAAAAGAGTTGAGATATCATATTACAGTGGCACATGCATGCCTATTTTATGAGCAACACAACTTATAATAATCTCTTAAGTGACCCAGAGGTCCATCAACAGATGAGCAAATAAAGAAAATGTATCTACACACAATGGAGTACAACTCAGTTGTACAAAAAAGGACAAATTCCAGTCACTTGTAGGAAAATGGATGTACTTCAAGACCATAACGCTGAGTCAAATGGATTACACACAGAAGGTTAAATATTGCATGATTTCTCGTATATGACAAATCCAAAATATAAATCACTTAAAGTGCTAAAGAGAAGACAGATAATAGGAAACAGGGAGTGAGGCTGGGTGCAGATGGGAAGTGGGGATGGGGACGGGTTGAGATGAGGGGGAACGGGGAAGGGAAGTGAGAATGATTAAGATGCACCATACGTACCAATTCCCCAAGATGAATGTAACTGCTATATATCCTGAGCTCATACTAAAAAAAGGGCACAGGGAGGAAAGGAATAAAACTAAAAATAAAATTATTTATTCATTTTCTTGAAAAACTGGCAGCAACGAATTTAGCAAGAGTGGCAAAATAAAATATTTGAATAAAACTATAAAATTTGATTAAGGGATGTAAAGTAACATATAGGGAAATGGAACACGTATATTCTTTTTTTTTTTAGTGCACATATCATATTCTTGAATGAGGAGATTTCTGTAATAAAAGACAATATTACTGAAAGTGTGAGTTCTCCAAAATTTAATACAACTTAATTAGAAATTCTGTGAGGATTTAAATTAAATAATGTTATTTTAAAGTTTATATGAAAGAATAAATATATAGAAGAATAAAAGAATACATCAGAAAGGTGTAAAGATTAGAGAGAAAAAAACTTTTACTAGAGATCTGTCAGTCTTTGAATTACAGGTAAAAAAAAAATCTCTTAAAGTTCAAATGGAAAAAGAAATGCCTATGAAATACATTTTTAAAAGTGAGAACAGTGAAAAAAGAAAAAGCACCTAGGAGAACATACTAATAAGTCATTATAATATTAAAATCAATATTATTGGGCCTGGGGATTTAGCTCAGCGGCATAAGTGCCTGCCTTGCAAGCAGGCAGTCGTGAGTTCGATCCCTGGTACCGATAAAAACAAAAAAGACAAAAAAAAAAAAAATCAATATTATTTTAACGAATCAAATAAATTAGTAAGGCAGAAGAGAACATGGTAACAGATGTTGGTTGATAATAAATTTTAACATATGATAGAGGGCATAGTACATAGGAAAAGAATGGTTTAATATGTAATGCTGATACATCCCTTTGGAAAAGGGTCAAAAACTAGACCCCTTAAATCTCATGCCACATAAAAATTAATTTTTTATGTTAGTCACTTAACTGAAAGAAAACCCAGCAGATTTTGTGTATTAGTGTATCTAGGAATGGGACTGTTGTAACTAGAACTCATCAGCTATAATACAGATTATCATTTGAATATATGAAAATGAAAACTTTTAACCTGGTAAAATCTACCATAAAAAGTCATCAGACAAATTATAAATTAGAAATAATTGATTGTGAAGGATAATTAACATATATACACAAAATGAAAAATTATAAAGAGAAACCCTGATACCATAATTGAAAACCTCTAAAATCTATAAATAGGTAATTCACAGAAGAGTTCACTTTAGGTTTTAAGTGATAATCACCTAACTGATAATTCACCTTATCATTTAAAAATTTTATCTCACATTGTTTATCTAATTTCACATTCCTACAAAAATTTACAGGATGACCCCTTTTCTTCTCTTCTAGCACCAATTTCTCTTCAGATTTCCCTGTTTTGCAAAATGTTCCCATCCCATTATGATATTTGAAACATTTTCATTTGTTACTAAAAGACTAATTTTTCTGAAGCACTGCTTTTATCGTACCATTCTCTTCATGACCAAGTTACAGAGACTCTTTACTATCTCGAGGTGAAGACGCAGATCCAGACCTGCTGCCAAAGCATTCATACCTCCGAGGTAAAGAGAAGTTTGAAAGCCTTGCCCAAGATGCCCCCAAAATAAATTTTAATCTTTTCATTTGGGAAAATGGAAGATTGACTAAAACATAGAACTCATTTTTAGAAGGACACAGAAAAATTTTAGAACACTGAATCTGACAATGCTTGTTTAGATATGGTAACAAAAGCACAAAAAGGAAAAACACAAAAAAGGGACTATATCAGACTTTTGCACAACAAAAATGCAACCAACAGTTGAAAAGGCAATCCGTGAAAAGGGAGAATCTTGCACCCAATAAAGTGTTAATAGGTAGAATTTATGAGGAACTTCTGTAATTCAACAATAGCGACAACAAAAACCCAAATAACTGGATTTTTTAAATGGGCAAAGGACTTGAACAGATAATTTACCAAGGAAGATATTTAAATAACCAATAGAAAATAACAACTGTTGATGAAGATGCAAAGAAACTAGAACTTTTACACACTTTTGATTGAAATGGTAAATGATAAGGGCACTATTTACCTAATGATACAAAAAGTAGGGACGTTGCTCATATGACCCAACAATCCCCACACAGGTATATATATCCAGAAGAACTCAAAGCAAGGTCTTAAAGATGTGTGCATGCCCATTTCATTGGAGCATTATATACAATAGTGGAGAAGTGGAAACAACCCAAATATCTACTGACAGATGAATAAAGAAAATATCATGTTTATATATACACTGAAATGCTATTCATTCATAAAAAGAAGGAAATCCTGACATTTGTAACAATATGGATAAACATGGACAGTACTGAGCCACGTAAAACAAGGGAGAGACTATATAACCTCACTTACATGTAGAATCTAAAAGTTAAACTCACAGATTTAAATTCACAGAAACAGAAAGTAAACAGGTCGCTGACAAGAGTGGGTGGGGAGAGGAAAGTACTGTTTAGTGAGTATAAAGTTTCAGTTTTGCAGGATAAAAATGTTCTATAGATCTGTTGCATAAAGTGTAAATATCGTTTAAAACTACTGAATTGTGTACAGCACACTTGAAAGGGTAGACTTTATGTCATGTGACTTTTTGCCACGAACACTATTAATAGCTGTATGTTCAGCACTGTAAGACCCTCATCATATCACTTCATAATCTTTAAATTTTAAATTTCAGAGACAAAATATTACAAATAAAAATAAAAATTTGGATCCACTAAACCACTAATCCATTGAAGATAGTAATACACCAAAGTAAATTCAACTTTATTTTTCTTGAATCTTAACTTGTACTTAAAATGTCTTTACTATACTGATTTAATAATAGTAAAATTGGAGGGAAGGGAGCAAACATCAATCACACACAGTGTATCACCAGTTTCTATTAGGTATACTTGCAAGACTAAGATAAGATTTTGTGATTATAAGAAAAATTTTAGACATTTCCTTATTGTGTATGACCAGTTGCAATTAACAGCAAAAAAGAATTCTCTTTACCTAGTGCTTCTTTTTCCAAATCATAGCATCTGGCTTGCAAGTTTCCTTCCTGTTGTTTGGATGCCTCAATCTGCTGAGATTTCAATATTGCTGCATCTGACAACAACTTGAGAGTTTTCATTTCCTCTTCAAGGCATTCCTTACTTCTCTGGGACACTGTCAACCTTTTATTTAACGTATCTATTTCTATAAAGAAAATGTGAAGTTTACAAGTAGGTAACACTGAGTCACAAAATGTAATTCTCTAAAAACTGAATTTCTTTTAGAACACAGTTGAAAGCCAAGATTTTTTTAATAGAAGAAAAGTAGAACAATATTTCATATGCAATAATAGGACAGTAACAGTAATACACTGTATAATATTATCTTTAAAGTAGTTACTCAGAGTACAAGTTATAGGCATAAAAATTCTTCAATCAATATTAATACAAACCTTCCTTTTTAAATGAACTAAGATACACTAGTAATATAATTAACTTGCATTTTTGCTTTTTCCCTTCCTTTTAGTTCCTTTTTCCCACTTCACTATCTATTGTACATTTTGAATCATATTTACTCTGTTTCTTATACTAGGGAGACAACATGTTTACATGTGTGAGTCTGATTTATTTTACTTATGAGTATGGTCTTGAGTTGCATCCATTTACCTATAAAATTCTCAAGTTTATTCTTCTTTATTGTTGAGTAGTACTCCATTGTATAAAAGATCACTTTTAAAAAATCGATTCTTCAGTTGATGGGCATTTGGATTGTTTCCAAGATTTAGCTGTTACAAATTGTGCTTCTGTAAACATGGGTGCACATATATTATTTTGGCATCATGTTTTTAATTCTTCTGGGAAGATATGTAGGAGACTATAATTGGGTTGAATGGGACCGTGGGTTGAATGGGACCTCGGGTTGAATGGGACCTCTAATTCTAGTTTTGTTTTGTTTTGTTTTTAGAAATAGTCATACTGATTTCCACAGTATAGAAAATAGTTGAAAGCCATGATGTCTTTTCTTTTCTATTGACACCCAACCAAAGGGTTAAATTTAAATTCAGGCCCGTTGTGGTGGCTCATGCCTGTAATCTCAGTACTCTGTATGAGGCTGAGGCAGGAGAGTTACCATGAGCTCCAGGCCCGCCGAAGCCACACAGTGAGTTCAGACCTAGCCTGATCTACATAATGAAACTGTGTCTCAAAAATAAATGAATAAATTTAAATTCGGTAGTGACTGAATAAGAGAAAAAAAGGGTTGCACTGCTAAATGATGCATGAAATATTTTAGTAGTTGTTTCTTTGCCTTTAAATTATTCCAAATGGCAATTCTGTAATCTTTTTAAATACTCACATAAATGAATAACAATATCTGTATAACATTTGGGATTTTATTTGAAATTACATTGGTTTTTTGCCAACATGATTTAGAAAAGTGAATGTAAATGTGCTAGCATGAATTAGTGGGTAGCAGTTCTAAAATGGAAATTAGGACACATTCTATACAATTATAAAGAAAATTATGGGTGGAGAAGAATAGAAAGATGCAATATGTAAAACTAATAAATTTGTGGAAAGAAGGAATTTATTAGCTAAACAATAATTTTAATATTTCTAATAGTATGCTGCCCCACATGGAGCCATAATTCATCATAGCAATTATCTATCATTATTTTCAAAATTTAATAAAAATGTCTTTACAGGTCTATATAGATTTAAATGTGATAATTTTATGTCATTTACTGAGAAATTTATGGAGCATATTATCTATCAGAATAATTATCAAGCTCATCCTTCACCAGTATTTTCAACACTGTTGCCATAATCATTAAAATATATGAACATAAATATAAACAATACTATAAAAAATTTTTTTTATCAGTACCAGGGATCAAACTCACAACCATATACTTGTAAGGCAGACGCTTATGCCGCTGAGCTACATCCCCAGCCCACTATACTATAAAATTTTTACAACTACAACTATGAGGATGTGGTCTTTGTGAAAATATGGATAGTTTGCTTTTCCAGAGAGTTCATCCGGCCTCCCCTTTTTGTTTGGTCCATCCTAGGCTGGATGGTGGGTTCAGATATGACTGGATGTCTAAAAGGTTGTCTTGTTTATTGCCATTAGGGTCACCACAAAAGAATGGTAGCAACACGGATCAGGAAAGACCAACAATAGAGACATATCGGACCCACAAGGCAGCAGAGACAGCACAGCCAGCAAACCATCAGAGCAGAAGTAAAACAGTGAGCAAAGCACCAAAACTAGAGCATGCACTAAAGGGGGTGACAAGCAAGAGCAAGAATGTCGTTTAGCCAAGCACAGGGCACACACCTTTAATCCCAGCTACCCCACAGGCAGGAGGATGAAAATTCCCATACCGTCCTGAGCAATTTAGGGCAACCCTACCCCAAAACAAAAAATAAAAAAGGTTAAGGGCGTAGTTTAGTGGTAAAGCACCCCTTGGTTTGATCACCAGTATGAAGAACCACCCCAAACCAAACCAAAACAGAATTCCCTCCCCCCAACAACGATGACAAAAACAAGGACAACCAAAGGATGTGGTTTAAAAAAAAGGTGGCTTTCTATGGCTAAATAAACTGTTCTGTACTGTAACTGCACTGTCACATTTAAGTGAAAATGACAGACAGTAGCCTGCATATGCAGTCATCTATTGTTTACTAAAATGACACTGCTTAGGTTAGCAAGTTGACTCCATTAGAGAGCATGACTGTCCCTAAAATAATTACTCATGCCAAATGAGACTTTATATCTGACATTAAAAGAGTAAGAGTCTGCAATACAAACTTGTTTGTAAAATATATTGTAACATGTGGAAAAGTACAGCAAGATATCAAAACTAAAGAAAGCTACAACAGGGGCTGGGGATTTAGCTCAGCGGCATAAGCGCCTGCCTTGCAAGCAGGCAGTCATGAGTTTGATCCCTGGTACCGATAAAAAGGAAAAACTCCAAAAAAAAAAAAAAAAAGCTACAACATTTCTCACATGAAATTAGGAAAGTGAATTCAGTGAAGATGAATTAACTTACCCTACAAACTAAACGCTCCTGTATCTATGACAAGCCTAATGGCAAAGATTCAACCCTTCCTCGTGCCATTAATTTTTTAAAAATTTGGAAATAATTACAGACTTACACAAAACTGCAAATAAATGTATAAGGTGGTCCTGTTCCCTTTAATTCCACTACTGTGTTGACATTTTGTATAACTGTGGTATACTGTCAAAACCAGGACATTTATATTGGCACAATCTAGATTTAATCAGATTTCACCAGCTCACGGGATATATATATTGTTTTACGCAATTTTATAATACATGTAGCTTCATGTGACTACATGAAGCTCATAATACAAAATTGTATCACAAAAAATCTGATTCCTGCTACTCCTTTATAGTAAAACTTTCCACTATTTGTTTCTATCACTTCTAATCCCTGGAAACTGCTAATCTGTTCTCTACATCTACAATACTATTTCCAAAGTACTACATAAATGGAATCATACATTAAGTAAGCTTCGGAAATTGTTTTCTTTTCACTCAGCAAAGTTCTCTTGGGATTCATTTTTTTCCTGAGTAGTCATATATGGAACGGATGTAGCAGTCTGTCCTTTACCCTACATCTGATAGATATTTGGATTATTTCCAGCTTTGGCTATTATGAATAAAACTGCTAAAAAGTACACTTTTAGTTTTACAGGAAATTGCAAAATTATTTTCTAGAATGACTTTCTCATTTTACATTCCTGCTGGAAATATTAATTGATCTAGTTTTTCTGGTCTTCTTCAATACTTGATATAGTCAGAATTCTTAAATTCTAGATATTCTAAGGGGGTGGGGATTTAGCTCAGCGGCATAAGCACCTGCCTTGCAAGCAGGTGGTCGTGAGTTCGATCCCCGGTACTGATAAAAATGAAAAAGACAAAAGAAAAAAATTCTAGATATTCTAACATCAATGTATTACTAACTTACTGTTCATTTATCTTGCATTTCTTAATGGTCAATAAAGTTGAACATTTTTAAAGTAATTTTTTTATTAGTGTACTTCCTTTGATGAAATAAGAAGTTTAGTCATAGTCTTTGACTATTTTCTAATTGGACTTTTTAGGTAAATGTGGAGATTTGGGAGTTCTTTATTCTCAGTACAAGTCCTTTGTTGGATAGTGTACTGCTCAGTGTTTACAGAGTTACATGCACAAGAGTGCAGGACATCTGTGCACTGGAAACCTTAAGGATCCAGTCAAGAGCTTGGAAACCAAATGTCCTGAGCAAGTCTGTATCAGGAGGCCAAGATCTGTAATGGGAGACCAAAGCGTCTGCACCAGAAAGGCCCAAGGGCCAGTGCCGGAAGCTGAAGCGTCCTGTGTCAAAAGGTTGAAAGTTGTGAGCTGGAAGGCTGAGGGGTTTGTGCTGGAAGCCAGGAGATGACATCCAAGATGAAGATGAGGACTGACAGTCTCAGAAAGAAAAAAGCAGCCAAAGCTCTTTCAAAGAAAACCCCTCAAAACTCTCCCAAAGAAAAGCAGCCACAACAGTGCCTTCAAAGATGAGCAAAAATCTTTCCTTCCCATTCTTTTTATACTGTTTCAGTAACCGTAATAACTCAAATCAGCTGGCATTCCCACTCAAGTTGACAACTAGTCAACTGACTATCATAATTAGCAAATATTTTCTCCCAGCCTACAGCTTGTTTATTGATCCTCCTAACAGGTCTTTCATAGAGCCAGCATGAGTTCTTCTATTTCTAAATTTTCTATGGCTTCTTTTACAGTTGATTTCTAGTTTCACTGCACAAGGGTATAATGTTAAACACGTAGTAGTTTTGATTCTTTTATATTTAGTAAAGCAGGCTTTTTGGACTAATATGTGATTTGTTCTGTGTGCTACAGAGAACGTGTCCTCCATTGTATTAGGGTAGAACACTGAGGATGCCTATTAACTCCATGTTCCAGGATGTGGCTCAGCTGTTACTTCGCTATTGATTTTTTAGGTGATGTATCTCTTTGAAAAGTGGGTATTGATGTCACCCACAATGACTATATTAATGTTTATTTGCTCTTTTATGCCTATCAATATTTATTTTATGAAGAGAGGTGCTTCAGTATTCAGCGCCTATGTATTTACAGGTATTATCTCTTTTTGGATTCTCAGTAACCCAATCTCTCCTTTTGTTGGGTTA